ATGTTAAATATAGCGCTCTACCGACACTACGCGAGTCTTTTTTCCTACATCAATTGAGTGGTACTAACCACTGACATAATATATATCACATTTCACGATAACAAAAAATACAAAAACAAAATCAACAAAAACAAAACAAAATGAGTCAAGTCTCCCAGAAGCAAACTCCTAAATGGCAAAGGCAGTGGTCTTCATACTCTTAGGCTTTCTCTAGTGTACGTATAGGTCAAAATGGCATGGAGTTAACTCTCGATTATTGCTTCCTCCTCATTGGTTGTGCGAACAGTACAATAATGACACCAGTAAAGCGCCCAGCCGCGCTACGGAGTGGACTTGGGCAATGACACTCTGTGTTCCTGGCACTCAGTGACGCTGCTCAAGTACCGACTGAAGGGCTGCACGAGCGTTAGCCGGTCTTCCAGATGTCGTGGACGCGCGGATGGGACCAGTCCAGTTTCCCCTCCTCCTTCCTCTCCCCTCCCAAAAAATGTCACTTTCAAATTGCCTCAAAGTAACAGCAGCCGAGGGCGTCCAGAGTTCGGGGTGGCCCAACCCCACAAAGGAACTTCCCGAAACAAAGCTAATATGTACAACACGCCGAGTAATATGTGTATGAACATTGAGCGGTGCGGCCCAGCCCAGTCTGCATCGCGAATAGCGATGTCAACTCGCCAGCTCGAAAAGAGTCACTCTCGTTTTCCGAAAACAAACAACGGAACGGCTCGAGCAGGAACCGCCGGACGGGTTGCCTAACCGCAACATGTCCCCGAGCAGGTAGGCAACCCGCTGGCACAGCTTAGGTCACTGCCCGACGCCGTCGCCGTGGCGGCGACGACGCCGCTCAGTCGTCCTTGCTCGGATGCACGGGCTTGCCGTCCTCTTTGATGGGCGTGGAGGGCACCAGGGGCGGCTTGAAGCCCCCGTACTCGATGCAGAGCTTGCGCAGGTTGCCGCGATGCCTGCCCGCCCCGACGGCGCCGGTGGGGCCCCCGCGGCGGCCCGCGCGCGACTTCCAGTGCGCGGGGTACGGCCGGAACGAGTACACGTGCTCGGCGCAGTGCACGATCTTGTCCGGGTCGATGCCGGGCACGGCCTTGTGCGAGGTGGCCGTGATCTCGTCCTCGTGGGAGATCTTGTACTTGTGGTGCAGCTGCTGGTGGGGCTGGTGCTGCGTCTGCACCTGCGACTCGGACAGCTGCAGGTCCTTGATGGGCAGGGCGATGTAGTGCTGGAAGGGCAGCAGGTGGTGCATGGGCAGCCCGTGTGGCTCCGAGTACTGCATGGTCATGAAGGGGTGCGAGAAGGGCCGCATGACCAGGCGAGTGACCTGCTCGTGCTGCTGGTGTTGTTGTTGCTGCTGCTGGTGCTGCTGTTGTTGGTGCTGCTGCTGTTGTTGTTGTTGCTGCTGTTGTTGCTGCTGTTGTTGTTGTTGTTGTTGCTGCTGTTGCTGTTGTTGCTGCTGCTGCTGCTGCTGCTGCTGATGGTGGGGCTGCGGGGGCGGAGGCGCCACGGCGCCCGAGGGTGTGGCTTGCTTCTCGACCTCCACCAGCTTCGTGCTGACCGGCGCGTCCTCGACTCGCACCAGCCTCGTCACGTCCGCGGCCACCTGCTGCACCAGGGCTTCGAGCTGCAGCTTGTTCTCCTCCGGGAGCGCGTGGGCGTCGGCGCTGCTGCCCGGAGCGTGGTTCGGCGGCAAGTGCTGGTGCAGGTGTTGGGGTAAGTATTGAGGCAGATGCGGCAGCAGTTGGACGCCGTCCTGGAGCTCCTGAGGTGGCGGTTGCAGGAGCGTCTGGTCCGCTAGGATCTGCTGCTGGTGATGTTGTTGTTGAGCGGGAAGAAGCAACGCCTCGTGGAAGACGCCGGGCCCCTGTTGGAGGAAGTGCGCCTGCATTTGGTAGGGCAGCTGCAGAGCCAGCGGCTGCAACAGCTGCACGTGGTGGGGCTGCGTGTCCGCCACGCTCTGCTGAAGGTCCAAGTCCTGCGGGTCGTCCTGGAGCTGCTCGTCGGGCTGGACCTGCAGCTGTTGGTCTTGCAGCGGCAGGCGGAGGAACTCTGACTGTTCATTCTGCTGGATTTGCTGGTGCTCTTGAAGCTCCTGCTGCAGCTGTTCTTGTTGGAGCTCCTCGTGATGCTGCTGGTCCTGGAGTTGCTGCTGATGCTGCTGGTCCTGGAGTTGCTGCTGATGATCTTGTAGCTTCCTGGCCCGATCCTGCTGCTGTTCTTGTTGTTCCCTGGCTCGCTCGTGTTGCTGCTGCTCTTCTAGTTCCCTAGCCCGTTCCTGCTGCTGCTGTTGTTCCACATCGCGGAAGTGCTGCTGTTGACGAAGCAGTTGCTGGTGCTGGCTGATGTAGTACGCGGGTGCGTGCACGGGCCCCCGCTGTTGGACGTGTTCGTCGTCGGCCACCTTGACGGAGTCCAGCGTGATTTCGGTGGGCACCTCGACGGACTTCTGCACCTCCACCTCAGTGCGGTAGTGCGCCTCGTGCACAGCGCTGCTCTTGTGTATGGTCATGTCCTTCTTGAGCGTGTCCTGCAGCTGCTGCTGTTGCTGCTGCAGCTCCTCGTCGCCCTGATGCCGGTGGTCGTCGTCCCCGGCGCTGGCCTCTAGGTACTGATGGCCGTCGTCGGTGACTTCGAACGCGTTGGAGGCGGCCGCCACCTGCTGCTGTGCCGAGTCCTGGTGTCCGGCGGTGGAGGTCGCGGGGCGAGGGGTGATGACGACCGTGGGCGTGGAGGCCGTGTCGGCGTGGGCGTCCTCGTCCGTGGCCGTCGTGCCCAGCGACGAGAACAGCGACGACGAGCCGGATGACGACTCGGGCGTCACGGTGACGGTGGAGCCCAGCGAGTACGACGGCGTGGTCGACGACACCCGGGCGCCGAACGTCTCGCTGACCACGATCGGCTTGAGCGTGGTCGGGGAAGGCGGTGGGGCGGGCGAGCTCGTCTCCAGGACGTTGCCGGAGGTGCCCCTCTCGTCCGAGTCGGAGATGACGTACGCCGATATGGAGTCGGCGCCCTTAAGGCTCGGGGCGCCGGTAGGACCGACGATCGGCCCGTCTCTCTGCCCCTGCTGCCGCTGCTCCTGCTGCTGCCCGGCCGCGTTGGTGTCCGCGAGGAAGGAGGTGACCTGCACGCCGCGCTGTCCGCCCTGGAGGCCGATGTCGTCGGCGTCCGTCTTGCCGACGTACAGCGAGTTCTCGCCGATGTCGCTGAGCGGCCCGGGCAGCAGCACCTTCCCCGGCGGCGGCGCGGGCGTGGAGGACGGGCCGGCGCCGGGTCCGTCCACGCTGACGGCCAGCAGCGCCGGCGGCGGCACCAGGGTGGCGGACGGCGTGGGCAGCGGCGCGGCGGGCGCCAGCAGCGACGTGGAGGGGACGCCGGCTTCCCCGGGCTCTCCGGAGGCCACCGTCTCGAGCACCGTCGGCTGAAAAAGCAGAGTTTTAATTTAGAAAAATCATTCTGGGTGAACACACTCGGCCGGTCGCCTCCTGCCCGACTTCTGCCCCCCCCCCCTCCTCCTTCCTCAGCCCACCGACGCGACCTCAAGGAGCAGGCGCGCCTAATCACGCCGTCATTTAAAGGCTGATGGATAACAGGTGTGGCCCGGCGGG